GAATGAAAAAAAGAAAATACAAAAAAAAAGTTAAATTGATCGATATAATATATTAACTCGCTGATATAATTTATAATTTTTTGATCGATATAATCTATAATTCAAATTCAATACATTAAAATGAAAGAAATTACAGTTATATTTTAGGTTACCAATTTTTAGAATATTTTGTACTTTGACCTTTCCTTTAATCTTTGCTTCTTTAAACAAATGCATTAAAGTTTATCTTTTCTTGATAACATTATCAACAATGTATTCATCAATAAAAAATGAAAAGATTTTGATACAATTCGTTTGCTTCGTTTGTTTTTGATGCAATCAGAACTGCAAGTCTAATATTTGATGCATGCAAAACTGCATGTTAATGTGTTCGATGCAAGCGCATTGAATGCATTGTATCAGTAAATTACATGCAAAACTAAAATAAATTGCTAGCACATTCATTCCAAAATAGTCATTATTAGCTTTCATCATCTGATGGGGAAGCTAATCATTTCAGCTAATGAAGACATTCTACTAATGAAGAAGATAAGCATTTTCTGGTTAGCATTTTATCGGCCATCTCTTCGTTGCTAGGCTCATTATCATCCATTGCCTAGTAAGGCAGAAGTTTGTTATTAAAATAAGTTAAGTCAATTCTGTTATTTATGTTGAAAATCGACTTGACAATTGAACTTGACAATGTGTTAAGTCAAGAGATACACTGATTGCATGGATTGCAATATCACTACTTATCATATCATAGATTGCTGTATCACTATTTACCATAGACTGCAGTATCACTGTACCATTACTTATCATGGATTGCAACATCATTACTTATCATATCATACATTGCAACAATATTACTACTTATCATAGATTGCAGTATCACTGTATCATTACTTATGGATTGCAACATCATTACTTATCATAGATTGTAACAATATCATTACTTACCATAGATTGCAGTTCACTTTATCATTACTTATCACGGATTGCAATATCATTACTTATCACTTCACGCAATGTTTTTGAATATTTCTTAACTCAACTTTAAGGTAACATTGCTTATAAAACTGTTGCAATAATTTTATCACCTTTTAGGTAAAGCATGATAAATTTGATCTATTCTTGAATAGGCGAGCAGTATATTTAGTCTAACTTTTGAAAGTCATATTTAAAAATTGCTTCATTTTAATTGATCCTTCTAAGATAAGTAACTCGATATTTAATTAAATATTTTGTACGAATTTAATTTATTCTTTATTCATCGATATTATTTCACAATTTTTTCTCACTTTCCCATGAAATTTCAATAGTTTTCCAATAATGATATTAGTGTTATACTGTATGGCTAAAAAAAATAAATTTAAATTAAAACAAAATTTCAGAAATTAAATTTTATCTCAAAAAATGAAAAGGAAGAAAATAATCGCATTATTTTTTGTTACATTTGGCCTCATATGTGATGGAATTAAACTTGGCATTCTGGAAAGTGATCAAAACCTTGTCCATATCTGTAAAATGGCCATTAAGGATGGTCAAGATGCTGGACATTGCACTACTGATACCATCCAGTATACTAATAATACATTTTTTATATTTTTTATTGTTTAATAATAGAAATTTAAAGAAAAAAGAAACTAACTGTTAAATCAATTCGATATATGGAATAGAAGAAATATCATTATAGCTGGATAACACTGATAACACATCATTATATCATATAAATTTTATTACTGTAAATGTTAATTTTTAATTGTCTAAGAATTAATCAATGAATTTTATTTCAATTGTTACTTATTCATAAAATACTACTGAATGATTCCGGAATATTCCGGATTGAGAAATTTTTGGAAGAAGTATTTGAATGAAGAATAATTTAGGATATTAAACGCTACGATATGCATGATAAGCAATCCGGCAATGGGTACAGCTAATGCTATCACATTTCATTTTCAGGAACATGTAGAGGTTAGAGGTTATTTATTTAACCATTTGTTGATATTTATAATTATTGCTAAAATTTCAACTATCATATCTTATCAATGTAATTTTAAGGCATTCATTGATTCAAGATGTGAAAGTGAAATATTGGAAATAGCTAGCTTAGCTAGTTTCTGGAATTCTCCAGTTATGATAAGAGCTGTTACAAATCCTAGTATCAATGATCAAGATTTATATCCTACTGTTGTACAATTTGGTCATATATCTACGCTTGATTTTACATATGCAATAAAATCTCTCATTGATTATCTCAATATTACTTCGGTAAAATATTTCTATTTTTTCTTTTTTTTTCATTTTTTAAATATTTTAAAATTTGATTTTTATGTAAATTTTTAATAAGAATGAAAGTAATTCTAAAGGAAGTTTAAATTTGAATCTATTTGTATTTCAAATTGAATTTCAATTTTGATTGTGAATAATTTGGTTCGAATATTTGTTTCAAAATTCATATTTAATTTCAAATTTAACTCCATTAATGGTAATCTAATTCAATGGAATGTATTG